ATTCGAAGGTCGGTTCCACCAGAAGACGACGGCGGATTCCTCTTGACCAGCTGTCGATTGGCTTTACTGTCCATATGCACATTCATTCTGCACACATCATAATTATACCAGAAGAACCTTCGAGATTACGTACTCACATCTGTACTTTTCATTTTCTCACTAAGCCTTTGCATTGATGATGACGAGGGGCTTTGAATCTTAATTTCATACAAACGCATCCGCATACGTTCGAACATACAAACTTAGATTGACATGAAAAGGGACTAACTGAATGTTCATTTATCTATCTATCTATCTATCCATCTATCTATTTGTCTATATGTCTAATCGAACTGATGAAGACAAAGATGGTGTGATCTTTTAGAATGGTTGCGATCTCCTTTCGTTGTATAGAAATTGGTTGGACTTGCTTCGCAACTTGGTTGTATTGTCAGGGCGAAATAGAGAAACGCCTCTTGTCCGGAGTCCATTCTATCCATGATGATTCGCATCGTCCGACCATGCGTTTGGTCTATTCCCATGGACTGACTCTGAAAGTGATCATGTCTACCATGGACTCCGGACAAAGTGCATTTCTCTAAGTCGCCTGACAACATGACCAAATAAACAAAAACAAAGTCAAACTAATTCAATCTATTTGTCTGTTTTATATTTTGTGCCATATGCATCTAGACTTTTGCTGCATAGCATATGAGGAAGCGCCAAAGAATTAGCCTGAGGTGATGATGTGCTCTTCCCATTCTTGACTCGTTAGCTTGAATTTTGTTGTCACGATGTCCGTCATATGACGCACGAAAGCCTAGCACGTTTTCACCGGAATCAAAAGAGATTGCCTCGGAAACAGCGTCAGCATGAATGTTCCCGTGAAGCCAATTGACAGCTGGTCAAGAGTAATCTGCCGTCGTCTTCTGGTGGAGCTGATCTTCGAATCTCTTCACCCAACACTCTCACTCGAAATGGAAGTAAGCTCAACGATTATGAAACAAGAGATTCCTCGAAACCCAACTTTTCTTCGTTTATGTTCATTTAAAGCCAAATGACAACTGGCCAATGAGAATCGCCTGTCATCTTCTGGCGGGATCGACCTTCAGACCTCTTCATCACACACACACACAAATATTTTCACTTGAAATGGAGTAAGCTCAACAAATATGAGACTTTCAATCCTAACAGAAATGAAAAAAAGAGTCACGTCATTCGACCGGCGTGCGTGATTGTGTCACGGAGTGTTGATCTGTTTCTACTTTACCCTCACGAGCCACTTTCTGATCTCATCTACCATGCTTCAATTTTTTCTTCAAGATCTACTTACCACCTCAAAGTCCAGTCACCAAGTCGTTTGACAGACCTCCGCAGGATGTTGTTAGAGAAGAGTCCGCTGCTGCAAGTCCGTCTGGGTCCGGAGGTGAGCTTCGCCTACTCGTTCCGAGTTGTCGGGCCGAGGGTGGAGAAGGGGATCAGACGGGCAAACTAGAAACAACAAAATGCCCGAAAACGAGTCTGTTCTCGGAGCCCAGCAATAAGAAGGGTCAAAAGTGCTGAGGCTGGGTGGGCCAATTAACTTTGGTTGTTTCATCCGTGAGTTGTCATCACGTCTTATCTCCACTTATT